CTGTTTGGCTCAGCGGTTAGAGCGTCGGCCTGCGGTCCTGAGAGACCCGGGTTCGGTTCCCGCTAAGGGCATGTACCTTGGTTGCAGTTTGTCCCCGGCCCTGGTCGGTCGTGCGGGTGGCAGCCACTTGATGTGTCCCTTTCACATCGATGTTTCTCTCTCTCTCTCTCTGTTCCTCTCTCTCCCTCCCACTCTATCTGAACAAAAAATGGAAAAATGTCCTCGGGTGAGGATTAAAAAAAAAAAAAAAAAAAAAAGAAACAGCATGATGAATTTTTTCCAGAAGCTATGTTCTTAAGTTAAAAATAGTAAAATTGGACATTAATAACTGCATATTAGGCTAGTATATACCACAAAATACTGCTATAGCACTTACAACATGCACTAAGAAAGAAGTGTGTTCTGATATAGAAAAAAAATTCAGATGGAAAACACATATGTTCTTTTTTTAAATTTTTTTTCTTTATTGATTTTAGAGAGAGAGGAAGGGAGAGGGAGAGAGAGATAGAAACATCGATGAGAGAGAACATTGACTGGCCACCTCCTACATGCTCCCCACTGGGGATCTGGCCCACAACCCGGGCATGTGCCCTGACCAGGAATTGAACCAGCGACCTCTTGGTGCATGGGTCGATGCTCAACCACTGAGCCACACCGGCCAGCTGTTTTATTTTTTTAATTGATTTTAGAGAGAGGGAGGGAGTAAGGGGGGGAGAGAGAGAGAGAGACAGAGAGAGATAGAGAGACAGAGATGGATTTGTTGTCCCACTTATTTATGCATTCATTGGTTAGTTCTTTCTCTTTTTTAAAATCTTCACCCAAGGATATTTTTTTTTTCTATTTATCTTCAGATAGAGTAGGAGGGAGAGAGAGAGAGAGAGAAAGAGAGAGAGAAACATCGATGTGAGAGAGACACATGAAATGGCTGCCTCCTGCACGACCCCAACCGGGGTGGGGGACCAACCGCAACCGAGATACATGCCCTTGACTGGAATTGAACCTGAGACTCATCGGTCCATGGGCTGATGTTCTAACCGCTGAGCCAAACTGGCCAGGGCTCACTGGTTGATTCTTATGTGTGCCCTAACCAGGGATTGAACCCATGACCTTGGTGTATTTAGATGACGTTCTCACCAACTGAGCTACCTGGCAAGGGCCTAAAACAGGTATGGTTTCAAAATCAAATTCTATTCAAACACTGAAACAAAAACAATAACCCTAAAATGTTTTAGCAAGAGAACTCCCGAAAAATTGCTTTGTGGATTACTGCAACTTTTGTCATGAATATAACAGTTGCTCTGGGGCTAGAGGGATGAGAATGAAAAAATAGGCTAAAGTTTTAATTTCCATCTAAAGATGATTAAAGATAAATACTCAAGTATACACATACACATTTGTAGAATCCTCATATTCTCTTCTTTATGAAAATGTTAATTCTAAAATCTCACACAATTGTATTTATGCATGCGTTCCTTTTTTAAAATACAAAATCTAACCCTTGTGGTCTCATACAATTTTGATGTTCCATGATGTGTTACATTCTTTGTGTTAAGAAAAACCACAAAAATAAAAACCTATTGATGAAGAAGAGTGACTTACACCAGGTAAGTGTCTCTGGCCCCTTACTTTAGGTACCTCCCACTGTGAGTTGTGTACAAAAAGCTTCTTGAGTTGAATTATCTTTTTATCTTGGTGATTGCCAATCAGTGCAACTGCCTTTGTAGCCATGGACCCCCACTGCTCTGAGGATTTTGATATTTGAGATAATTCACTAACTGGTATACACATATTTTAGCTGTTACAATAAATGGTGACAAACATTGAGCCATTTCTCTTGGCCTACCTGTCCAGTCCCCATTGCTATGAGAAATATATGAACATCATCTTAGATCTTAGAAAATATTTTCTTCCATACATTTCACAACAACGGATAGATCCTAAGTTTTAATCTACTTTTATACACTACTGATGACTTGGGTATTCAAAACATTGTTTATTAGAAAATAAAAACTAGATATGGCATAAGGATGCCAAGGTTTACATTTTGTCTCTCCATTTACAGGCAGTAGGCTTTACATAAGACTTTGTCACAACTCTCAGTTTTGTAATAAAATTAAGATAATAATTCCTATTTACATCACAAGGTTGTCTTACAACTCAAAATAATGTAGGAGAAATATCTGTGAGTTATGAAGTATTCTACAGATACTTGTTAAATCAAAATTATTATATATTATCTTTTAAAATATATTTTTATTGATTTTTAGGGAGAGGAAGGGAGAGTGGGAGAGAGAGAGAAACATCGATTAGAGATGAAACACTGATTGGCGACATCCCACAAGCCCCTGGGGATTGAGCCCACAACCCAGGCATTGACCAGAAATCAAACTGGCAACCCCTCAGTACACAGGATGACACCCAAACCAGCCATACCAGCCAGGGCAATAATTATATATTCTTAAGATTCCTAAATACTAAGCCCTAGCTCAGAACCCATATATAGTAAATGAGATTTCAATGTCATATACAATGGACACTGATGGTAGCCTAATAAGAAATTAAATACACAAGTCTGTTCTCATCCCAACCCCCAACATTTTTAAGACTTTTTATGTTTTCATGTCACGTAAATGACTCATGTAACATATATTTATAATTTCTTCATTAAATATCAAAGAATACAAAAAGAAATTCACCTCAATTTTAATTTTAATTGTTCACCTACACTATATAGTTTTTCAGCTGTGTTGTTTTTGTGGCTCCTTAATGAATGAGAGTAGTGCCATGTCTTTGTGATATTTTCTTCTGTTGTCCCTTTGTATGACACATTGAGCTATGTTTGTGAGCTTTACCAAATCCAGTGAAAACGTCATTGTACATTGCCAGAAAAGAAAATAAATGAGCATACAGTAACATTTTTCTTTTCACTAATAGTGTCAGCAATTTACAAGTGTAATCAGGAAAACTAAGTAAAGCGTGGAGAGTCAAGGATAGAGCCTTTGAGATTCAGGATGTTCAGGATGCTTTTAAAGTGGTCAGCACAAACAGCTGACTACTTAGCTTCTGTTTGTAAAAGTAGCATTTTTTTTAAAGCACTTCCCTTATCTCATTTCCTGGTTGAAAGCATGCCCATCTTACAGATCACATTACCATGTCCTGTCTTTTAGCAAGTACTCTATTAATTGCCTGACCATTTAAACAAATACTTGTTGGGTCACCTTTTAAAGTAAGCACCTAATGATCTCTTTGCTAATGATCTGATGATTATTCTGAAAAGGAAGAAACAAGAAGGAATGTGTTGCAGTCTCAGTGTAGCTCTCTCTCTTCTCCAAATCCACCTGAAACTTGACATTAGGTGAGGACCAAACAGGATGAGCTACTCTGGAAGCTTCTGTTGACAACTGATTCGGGATTAGGACATGGTATGGATTAATACCAAAATTTTGACAAGATTTTTGTATTTATTCATTTTTTTAAATTTCTAAAGTATTAGAGATTGGTATATTTTGTGAAGTATGGGAAAGAACCAGAATTTCTGGGGTTAATCAATATCCAAGGAAAGTTTTGGGGGAGAAAAACTGGCAAAATTTGATTCAACAGGTTCAGGAAGATATTTTCCATGATTAATCCAAGGCCTCCTACCAGGGTCCATACTAAGATGGGGCAAACAAAGTGCCTAGAGCACAAAACACAAGGAGTCATTCTCTGTCACTTGTACAACCCTAGTCAGCCCTACTGATCAAATAACTTAATTTTAACTTTTAAAAGACAGAACCGTCCGGCCAGTGTGGCTCATCAGTGGTAGAGCATCAACCCATGCACCATGAGGTTGCCAGTTCAATTCCGGTCAGGGCACATGCCCAGGTTGTGGGCCAAATCCCCATTTGGGGCATGCAGGAGGCAGCCAACTGATGTTCTCTCTCATCAATGTTTCTATTTCTCTCTCTCTCCTTTTCTCTATCTCTAAAATCGATAAAGAAAAAATATTTAAATAAATAAAATAAAAGTACCAATGAAGATACACTTTATTCATTAAGGACAGCAATGAACAGATACCACTGCTCTCTTCCACTGTACTTTATAGAGTTCTCAACACTCTTTTCACAGGTATCATCACCATATGCCAACCTCAACTTCCCGAGGCCAGAAGTGCAGAATGTATTAATCCCACCTCGGATATGAAAAAACAAATTTAGGGGAGCTCTAAGATTTGGTTAAGATAGTGGAGGTAGAACTTGAATTCAGGCTTCTGATTCTCTATGTCCAGTACTCTTCTCACTACACTATACAACACCAAGTCTCCCTGTGAGGTCCTTTATAGAATGTGATGTTATAGTCTACATTGATTAGAATTATGTATGAAGTCGCTAGTGGCTGGTTTATATTAACAATGAAATGACCTTAAATTTGTCTATTAGCCACTGACCCTAAATAGCCTTATGAGAAATTAAAAGAATAAAAGGAATTCATCTAATGGTTCTTAATGCCAGGCTTTAACATTTTAGGGGAAATCAAAACCATTTATAAATCACAGATAAATGTTTTAATACTGTCATTGGTTGCACAGTAGAATGTTTGTTTGTTTGTTTGTTTATGTTATTATCAACAAGGCTTAGAAACCATTGGAAGGATATGGGTAATTTTGCTAAGAATTGTAAAGAAGTTGGGATTAGAGCAGGTCTATATAGTATCAGGTTTGAGCCTTCTCCCCTTATACTGGGAGATGTCCAGAAAAGAGCAGAAGGATAAAAACAGACCCTTGCCAGTGACCAACATGTGGTCTGTTGGTCTTTCTCCATATGGGCCTGCTTCAGACAGAAACTTTCTAACACTAACCAGAAATGCAATTTAGACACACACACACACACACACACACACACACACACACACACACACACCAGCAGCAACAACAAACCCTTTGAGTTGCAAATCTAATTTCCTGGATGCAGTGAATTAATACGAAGAGATCCTAAATTATTTAAAAGTGAAAAGAAACTTACTCCTCCCCATGTTTTCTTGTGGTCTCTGGAGGTCCCTGGATGATTCCCTGTAAAAACACAGCACATACACAGTCAGATTCACAGAGGCTGAGTCACTACATCAAGTAAGTTCCATTAGAACTGATGAAGTCAATATGAGCATTTCATTTCAGTGCATTCTAATTTTGCCCTTTTACATAAATGTTTTCTCCATCACAAACAGGTATCTAACTTCAGAGGACAGAAACACAGTATTCTGGAAGCATGAGGTCTATATGAACTTAATATGACCTTGTTTATCTGGCATTAGTTTCTGCCCTTGCCAAATAAAACTCATCAAATTGGTCACATGCTTATCTCTTAGAAGAAGGCCGTGCTATCAATAAAAAATGGCAGACAAAAATGCCAAAAGGCCCTATTTTAATAACCAGGCTACCATGTTATTAGTTGGCCTATCCCTGACTTCTCTTCAATGTCATTCAGTGACAAATCCAATACCCTTTATATTGTAACATTTTCCTGAATGGTGTCAAACAGCAGTGCCTCTAATCAAATTACCCCTGAGGCAAAGCAGTCCACAGAGTTATTACCCCAAAACAGTATGAAGCAATAACCCTGAACTACTAACAACAAAAACTTTGGAGGAAAAAAAGCACATATTGCAAATTCAAGTATGCATGGAGGAGCAGTAATTCTGCTTTTAAAAGATGAAAATACATACACAGAAACTATTTCATACAACAAATCTACATTTTCTTATAGGTTTCAATCACAGAATCACCATACATTTACTGTTCACTTGCCACATTCCCAATACGGAGCTAAGCACCAGAGAGGCAAAATTAGAAGACATAATCTATCAGTCCATTAAGGAATGCACAACCTACTTAAAGCTAAGCACATAGTGGAGAGTGATGTCATCAAGATGGCCACCTAGGTCTCCTTCATAGGCCAACTTCAGTCCCTCTCACAGAAAGACCAACTAGCCACTATCCACAGAAAAGACACCAATGTGAAAATCCCACACTAGAAGGGTAAGAGGACTACATACTCTCTGACCACCGTGCTCCTTCCCCACAGTGACACAGTGTCACCAAGAGGGCACCCCAAACCTGTGGTTTCTACAGTGGGAAAAGAGAGCCTGAGGTGTACATCCAGCTTCCCCAGCACGTGGGACACTTCACAGGAGGCCCACTCAAGACTTGCCTCATATAAATCACTGGAAGAATCTTCAGGGCTTTGATAGAGGTGGATAGGGGGCTGGGGCTTACAGAAACCAGTGCTCAGGTCTTGGCACAGAGCATTCCTGCTTGCAGCAGGGCCTGAGCAGAGATCCCAGCCAGAAGCTCTGGCCATCTGCAGAGCTAAGCCAGTGACCCCTCTGGCTAGGGAGCTCAGTTGGCAGTTCTTCCTGATTTGGATCCCTAGTCAGTGGGCCATATGGGCAGTGGAGCTTGCTTTCCATCCCACCCAGGAAAGTAAGCAAATTCCCAGCACCACCCAAGTTCTGAGTATAGCCTCCAGTTCTGCCCACCCAGGAGGCCTGGCTAGAGAACTAAAGCAGTAATAGAACCCAATTTTATAGCCCTGCTTGGTCAGGGAGGCAAGCTAGCAGCTCCACTCAACTCTTAAGCATAGCCTCTGCCCTGCTTAACTAGGGAGTCTCAACAGTGACCTTGGGAAACAGAAGAACCTGGCCTATATCCTGCCCAGCCTGGGAGTCCAGTCTACAACCCTAACAAGAAGAGAAAGCCAGCCTATGACCCTGCCCAATTGCTGAACATGACCTGTGGCTGTGCCCAGACAGGAAGCCTAGACAGCAACCCTGTCCAATCAGGAACATAAACTACTGCACCAGCCACCAACCTTGCCTATCAGCAGAACACAGACAATAGCTTAGGTGATCACAAAGACCAGCAGGCAGCCTCACTCAACTTCAGGGCACAGTCTGCAGGCTTTCCTGATCCCAGGACACAGCCTGAGGCCATGTCAGACTACTAAATCCTGCCTTCAGCCCCACCCAAACATAGAGTCCAGGGAGTGACACCATCTGGTGGTAGAGTACAGTCTGAGATCCCACACAATTGGGGTGACTGCAGAGCTCAGCCCATAGCCCTGCCCAATTTTGGAGTTCAACCAGTGGTGCCATTCTGCCACCAAATATAGCCTGGGACTTGACTTAACCAAAGGTGATTGCAGAGCTTAGTTAGTGGCCTCACCTGACTTACAGAGCACAGTCAACAGCCCCATCCAAAGAAGGATATAGTCCTGCTTGTATACGGTCCACCGAGCTGCTGAGCCCAGCCTGAGGCACCCCCCCCCTCAACCTCAGAGCATGTGCAGTGGTCTCACCCAATTCCAGACCCCAGTAACAAACTCTGCCTGGCAACAAAAGCTACCGAGTGACCTATCCAGTACCCCCAAGCTGCAGTGACTGGTGAAGTTCTTTCCCTGCAGAATTGAACATGTAAAGTCTTGGTGAGGAGGACACTTAAACAAATGCACAAATACCAATACAAGGAATCAAGGAACACAAAGAAACAGGCAAACATTACACTGGCAACAAAAACTAAGAATGCTCTAATAACTGACCCCAAAGAAATGGAGAAGAGCCTTGCTAGTGTGGCTCAGTGGTTCATTGTTGACCCATGCACCAAGAGGTCACCGGTTCAATTCCCAGTCAGGGAACATTGACAGGTTGTGGGCCCAATCCCCAGTGGGGGACATGCAAGAGGCAGCCCACGGGTATTCTCTCTCATCCATGTTTCTCTCTCTCCCTCTGCCTACCTCTCTCTCTAAAATCAATAAAGATAAAAAAATTTAAAAAAATTAAAAACAGAGAAGACTCCAAAATGGTGGCGGAGTGAATGGAAGCTACAAAGACCACCTCCCAGGACCAAACTGGAATTACAACTAAAATAAAGACAAATCGTTGGGAAAAAGCAACAGAAAAGCAGCTGGAGAAGATCATATAACCAGGGACAAAAATAAAACACTGAATTGAGCCTGGTAGGTCTGTGGAGGCAAGAGAGGGTAGGCTGGAAGCCTATGAACAGCAGCTGTTTTTAGCTGTAAGCAGCACTCTCAGGGTTAAAATCCCAAGCAAGCTCCACAACGCAGAGGGCCAGGACAGAGCACTAAATTAACTACAACCACTCACTGTGGGCTCCAGCAAAGGGAGGGTGGACTGCACTGGAACTGTGTGGGTACACCCAGGATTTGGAGGGCGCTCAGAGTTTTTCCGGAGTTGTGGCAACACAGGACAGTAGCCATTTTGCTCCTTCCCAGAGCACTGGGTAGAATCGACAGCACCTCCCTCAGAGATTTAACTCCACACATCTAGGCCAGAGAAATTCAAGTTGAGATTCATTACCAACCAGCATCTGCCCCATCCTCTGGAAATCCTCTTACGCTGAACACCTGAGAGAGTTTTTCATTCAGTTGAGGGCTACAATGCAAGGCTCATCAAGTAGCCGAGACAAATAGACTCCAGGCAAAAAGTTAGAGGATAAGTGAACCTTTCCTGGGCTTGTAAATATACCCAGGAAAGTAAGACTTGACAGTGGTGTTAAACGTGGGTTCTCCCACACTCATCCAAACCCAGTAGAGGAAGCCACAAACGGCAGAACAGCAACACCCACAGGGAAAATTTGGCGGGCTGCGAAACCCACTGAGATAGCCAAAAATGGTAAAACAAATCCCAAATGGAAGAACAAGAGAACTCCACTGAAGATGAGATAAATGAAATGCACTTAAGCAAGTTATCAGAGGTAGAGTACAGAGCCATGATCATGAGGAAGCTCAACAGCATGAGTAAGGACATCAATACCATGAGTAAAAATATACAAACATTGAAAACCAACAAAGTGGAAATGAAGAATGACATAGCAAAAACAAAGAACACATCAGAAGGAATAACCAGCAGAGTAGAGGACGCTGAGGACAGGATCAGTGAATTAAAAGACAGGGTAAAAAAATCAACTAATCAGAAAACCAAAAGGAAAAAATAATAAAAAAAAACAAAAAAAAAAAAAAACAAGAAGACAGCTTAAGAGAACTGTGGGACAACTGGAAATATAATAATATTTGCATCATAGGAGTCCCCAAAGAATAAAATGAGCAAGGGTTAGAGAATATATTTGAAGAAATACTGACAGAAAACTTCCCTAATTTGGTGAAGGAAGAAGGCATTCATGTTCAAAAAGCACACAGAGCCCCAAGTAAGAATAAACAAAACAGGCCCACACCAAGACACATGGTAACTAAAATGACAAATATTAAAGACAAAGAGAGAATCCAAAAGGCAGCAAGAGAAAAGCAACAGGTTACCTACAAAGAAACCCCCACAAGGTTCTCGGCTGACTTCTCAACAGAAACACTACAGGCCAGAAAGGAATGGCATGAAGTAAACAAGGTCATGAAAAACAAGGATCTGAATCCAAGACTACTCTACCCTTCTATTCAAAATAGAAGGTCAAAGAAAGAACTTTCCAGACAAAAAAAGGTCTAAGGGAATATATTAGCACCAAACCAGCGCTGCAAGAAATGTTTAAAGGACTGCTGTAATTAGTAGAAATAGGAAGAAAAATATAACCACTATAAATCAAACTAGCAATTCATAAGTACATATTAATAATCACTTTAAATGTAAATGGACTTAATGCCTCAATCAAAAGACACAGAGTAACTGACTGGATAAGAAAGCATGACTCATATATATGATGATTATAAGAGACCCACCTCACAACAAAAGACTCCCATAGGTTGAAAGTGAAGAGATGGAAAAAAATCTTCCAAGCAAATGGAAAAGAAAAAAAGCTGAGGTAGCACTACTCATATCTGATAAAATAGATTTCAAAATGAAGGCCATAAGTAGAGACAAAGAAGGCCACTACATAATATCGAAAGAATCTATCCAAAAGAAAGATGTAACCTTGGTAAACATATACGCACTCAATATAAGAACACCAAAATATATTTAAAATCTTCTGGAGGACTTCAAAGGAGAAATCGATAGCAATACAATCATACCAGGGGACTTCAACACCCTGCTGACATCACTGGATAG